ATAGATAGATAGATAGATAGATAGATAGATAGATAGATAGATAGATACAGGCAGGTGTGTGCGTTAAAAAGTCCCTAATCTCCATCTCATCACATCTACATTTTTTCACTGTGGGAGGTGACCTTGCCCTTAGATGGAGTGAATCTTTCTTATCAGCTTCTCTTCATCAGTAATCATACCCTGACCTAGAATCACAATGAGACAAGTGTCAAGACGGTCTGAGGAGATGGAGTCCAGGGTTGGCTGTGGGAGGCTGGTGACTTCAGTTTGACCGTTGGAGTCTAAATGGCTTTTGTCAAACAGCTGATAAATGGAAAGCTCGACATTTGTGACAAATAATTAATTTAAAGTATTTTTATGAGATTTAATGTTTCTTAAAGAACTACCTTGCATACATTGTTTCAAATGTTAGTAATTGTCCTTGAAGCCTTCAATAATCCTTGCCTGCTCTGATTGGTCAGCTCTTTGGTCAGATAGGATCATTGTCACGAATTTGTTCTTTTTATGTGTCTGCAGTCCATGGATCCAGTTCATGGATATGTTCACATTCAGTTCCTTTGATGAATGCTGGAACAAAATAGTTCTTTTTTTCCCAGTGAGTTTTGGATTGGATCAATGAGATTTTTTAAAGTTTGCCAAACAAGCCACAAGGCAGGCATTATGCAAATGTATTACACAGTGATCATTAAGTAAAGGAGTAAAAGGCTAGACTCCAAACACAGCTTGCGCGAAGGCAGATTTTTCCCCTTGGTCTGGACTTTGAATATATGATGAGCTTTTACAGTTTAAACAGCAACGTGACAGTGTAGGTAAGGAGCAAAGATACTTTAATCATAATATCCCACTGTGACTTCATTGACTGTATAATGTTGCTTCACTTTCAGCTTCACGTTGCAGCTCTGCTGTTATTTTTTCCTTTTCTGAATAGTAAGATTGGATGCAACATTTGCTCGGTTTTTAATTTAACGGCTCTGCGAACTGGCGTTCCTTTTGGTTTTCGCTGGTGATTTCTGTTGGAGGATTGTACCAAAGACTTTAAACTCTAACAAACTCTAAAACTAAACTATTAATTTATAGCATTAGAATCAAAATGTATTTTCTTTCCCCTCTTCCTCTCTTGTCTCCATTCAAAGCCATCATTATTATGGTATTATGTTTCCACGTTTAGCTATTCAGTTTAACTAAAGCTATACTTTAAATGGCTTCTGTGTATTTATTTATTCATTTATTTATATTTCATCATTTGCTGTGTTGTGTTTTCAAGTTTTCATGCTCACTTGGGTCTCAATTGCCAATTAGTCCCCCGTGTATCCTGTCTATAGTCCAGCATTGTTCCCTTTCAGCTGTCAGTTCCTCCATATTCCCCTCCTGTGTTCCTTATGCCATGCCTTTCAGCATTCACAGTTTGTAGCTCATTTAGTGTCTGAGTCGTTCTTCTGTTTCTGGATTCCAGCGTAGGACTCCTCCGGTTTGCTTTTTTTCGCCCGCTGCATTTTTGGGTAATTTTGTATCGACACAAGTAACCCTTTTTTTTTTTTTTTGCAGGGTCTTCAAACCTTCCTCCCGTTTCGTGCATGCTCATGACACAGCCAAAGCAGCCAAAGCAGTTACACACACACTGTGTTTTCTTAGCTGCTCCTTATCCTACTTTCCTACCCTGCAGCTCTCAGAATGCTAATACCAAGGTCACAGTGTGCAAATGAGCGCTGTTGATAAGAGGCAGGCATTTTTTATTGAAAATCATTTAATTGAATTTGATTCATGCCAGTAGCATTTACTCTGTAGAGGCATCAGTCTCACTGGTGAGGGGAAACGGGGGAGCACCAGAGAAATTCTGCAACAATTCACCTTGATGAGTATTCTCTCCAATGACTAGGGCTCTCCAGGATTATTTCTCGGTGACTAGTGTATCCAAATATTATCACAGAGGCTTCTATGATTAATGCAGAATCACTTTAACTAGTGTTTCTGTCCGCAGGATATCGGTGTGTCAGTTATCGCCTAACCTTTCACTAGGGTACAGTGAGGAATAGACATATCGGGGGAAAGAAGAGTAGAAAAAAGTTGGCTTGGAGTAAAACCATGATGGCGATTTTCGCTGTCACACACAATCTCAGTCTTACCTTCCCACTCTCTATTTTTCGATTTCCCCTGATCGTCCCCTGTTCCTGCTATCCCTCCTCAGGTGTCATAACTTTAATTTGCAGGCTCTTCGGGGGTCTGTCTTGCTGCTTGTCTCTGTGTTCTGCTTAATCACACCTCAGCTATAGAGCAGTCGAAAAGGAAAGCAACCAGATCTTAAATCCATGCGGTAATCACCTCCAGCCAGTCGAAAATCCAGCAAATATCGGGCTTATATTTCAGGCAGTAGCAGTTACTTAGCTTCATAATGTGTGTTTATTCATAATTATGATCAGTTAGGTTGGAGGCCATGTTTTGAAACTATTATAATTTCCTTCTCTTGCTCTGGGCCATTGACTGCTTCTTTTTTCTGCTTTCCCTATAGTGGCAAGGCGGAGGAAGCTTACAAATCGCTGTGATGACACTTGTTGATTGCAAGGACTATTTTGAGATGAGCTGCATGTCACATGTTAAGCCGTGTGGAGTTAGGTAAACGGTTATAAAATGTACAAAGTCATCCTATGTGTCTAAAACAACCTTTAGAGATCTCCAGGTTCTTTCTACAGTGGCAATAATATGCAGCTTAAAGCCACACCCGAATAGCTGTATATTCAAACACACAGAAGCCCCAAAGAAGGAAATCCTGCCCTTAACAAATCCTGCATACAGCGTACAATCTAGTAGAGGCTCTGTGTATAGAAAAAAAAAACACAGCGTCTTAATGAATACTGCATTTTTTTGCCTCCAAGCTGCCAGTTTACCCCTGGCAAGGCAGTGTCTCGCTGTGGTACTGTGACTGCTCTCTCCCTGCCATGTGGTCCGTGCAGCTGCTGGTTTTGGCATCAGCAGACACTCCCATGCTTCCGTAAACCTACGGACTCCCTTATCGCTTGACGGTCTATCATTTGCCCACCAGGTGTACTTGATCCTTACTGCCGGGATGAAAAAAATTTGTGTATGTCCATTCCCCTTGATGATATCTATATATGCCAATCCAAATGATTGCGCGGACCCAATTAATAAATGTGTTTGAACATAATGATATGAGCAGTGGGGGCCCTTAAATGCTGCGGCATATTCCCATTGTGCTCATTTTTCTATCTTAATTGTACACCAGAAGCGTCACAGCATCTTGCGAAATGCTGAAATATATGCTGCTGGGTTGCTGCTTTGTATTTTAGCATCTCTTTAAGAGATTTTTTATTATTGGTATGGATGAAGTCAAACATTGTGGCACAGGGTGACGAACATGGACATGACTTTGAATCTGCTTTGTAACAAGATTGGGATATAAATGGAATGGTCGATCAGAAACTGATGTTCTTTTTTTTCTCTTTTTTGATCTGGAGTATTGCTGAACATGTAAACACAGCCAATGACCTACAACGAAGCAGTCCCTTTTGTATTGTGAAGAAAAGTAACATGGAAAGAGAAAAAGAACTTACTCCATACTAGCTGCCAGTATTCTTCCCTTATTGAGTAGGAATGCATTAAGCGGGGTCTTTCCCATTCAGCTGTTGTGATTTGTTGCGTTATTTCTGGGACTTAATGTGGTGTATAATCAGAGCATTCGTCAGTAAACACATTTGCCAAAAAATTGTCGGGCTGCTGGCTGGAGGGGGGAGCTTGTCTCCAGATATAGCAGCAGAACCTGTCTTCTTACTATTTTAACGTGACAGCATTTCACTGCCCACTAGCTGTTGTTTCTCTCCCAGAAACTTTTTGACACTTTACCACGGATTGACACTTTACCACGGGTTTATCAGCGTTACGCCGAAACAACCTTGTAGAAGTGTCGGTTGGGACATAACACAGGGGGAGCCTGACCTGGACGAGTCAGGGGGAGGACATCCCTGACATGCACAAACACTGGACTTGGCTCGGGTAATCCGCTATAGCTGCTGATCAATTCTGCCCGTGACTTTCAGGTCCTGTCAGCATGCTATGGATTCCCCATTAGTCACGAGGCCCAGTTAATAGCAACACCCCTCCCTCCGCGTTTCGCTACAACTGTTGAGCATTAGTCATGAACCGATCTGCAGGTCAAACAAGAACAGATGTTGAAAAGTAGCAGCAGAAAAAATGAAAAAAAGAACCTTAACTTTTAATTGTCAAGAATTAAAAGTTAGTCCTGTTAGACTTGTTAGTCT